ACAATACAAAGACCTTTCTTGATACATCCAGCCAACAGGTTTACAATCAGAGATAAGGGAATTCATCATCTTAAATGCTGTATATTTGTGACCGCGCTTATACTTTCCCCTTGCAGCACCCACTAAAGAATAAATATGTCCTGCCCCAGCTGCTGCCTCAAACCAACACTGCGCATCTTTGTACTCTTCTCTCTCAAGCATAACAACACCTAATTGGTGAAATGCAAGTTGTTTTTGCCATCCTTCTTCAGCACACTCTCCTAATCTCTCCAAGAGCATCACAGTTGTGTTAGATTTCATCTCTTCCTCCATCGCAATCTGACTTAAAAAATAATATAACAAAAAGGATGCATGACCTGTCATAGCTAGTCTATCCCTACCCTCTGGACAACAAAATATTCTCACGACATTTGGACTATGCATCGAACTTGGCAGCTCTCTCAACAACACCTGCAAGCAAGCTGCCACTAGAATATGCGCCGTCTCCTCCAATCCATATTCAATCAACAACATGGCATCCTCCATGTCACAAACTAGAGATGCCAAATGAACATCGCAAGCAGACTTCATCTCCTCGCAACAAAATTTGTTCGCAAATGATAGAAGATCCAGAACAATATGCGGAGGAAATTGACTCAATCTTTTTGTTCTGCTATATATCTCAGCAGCCGTCATTGTCTCGACAGAAATCCCATTCTGCGAGAAATTTATCTTCTCTCTTCTTGTCTCCATGAAACCACCATACAGCATTGTTTTGAAGGGCCTCGAGAGGGAAGAGATATTGTATCGTCTACACCTAATTTCAGCGTCCCCAATGATAAATGACATATCGCCATCTTGGTCATCTTCCTCGGAAGTTGAGCATTCCTCATCGTCCATCATGGTTATGTCATCAGCGTCCTCTCGAGGATTACGATAACACATACAAGGTTCATATACCGATTCTGGGTCATAGCCAGCTACTAAATTCGCCACAGGACATTCAATATATCGTCCACAACAATACATCGACGATGATCCAATAAGTTCGTCCTCCCTCCTCTCATATCTTAACCAAGAAGCAAGGACAACCTTCGAATGCACATCAATTGCATGTTGTCTGGCCGACCGGAGGCTCTGCCGAATCAACTTCGGATCCGATAAGCCACGAAATAGTGCACATTGCTCCAAATACAAATGGGACTTCTCCAAATCGGGGCAACTCTCAATTCTACGATAAATATCCGCAAGCGTTTCGACAAAATCAACGGGCTTGATAGAGGGTTCAATCTGGGGTTCTACCTGATCAGCCTTGGGCAGGCCATACGGAAGAAGATTATCAGCAACAAAGTCGATTGCTTTCGCGTCTGGAATTTGCGATTTCCGAATGGATTTGCTCCGCGTGCATTGGGTTCTGATCTGATCTTGGTATGGGTTGAAAGGATAGACTTGATTACTCCTACACCCATCCATGATCTTCAAACTACGCATTGTGGCAAATATATTATGCTGCATCTCTCGTATTCTCGTGTTCAAGAATAAGTCAACGGTCCAACACTGAACAAAATTAAAAGTCTACAATTGACACATTCAGAAAAAATGTCAAAAAGTAAATTTACCTAAGGATTTTAAATTGGCCGTGCAAACACCGTTGGGTTAATAAGATGATCAGAGAAAAGCTGGTGAAAACTCGACGGTGATGCAGGCAAATTGAAATGTATCAGATGATGTCCCTGCGAGAGGTTTGGTTACTCTGGTAATGCCAGGTTTCCCTCTTTTTCTCGCCCCTGAGAAAATGGAGAGAAAGAGGAAAAACAAAAATGGTGAGTGGAATTTGACCAAATTAGACGTTGAGGTGGAGAATTGAAGATGGGTATGGCCATTTCAACGGCCATTCTTGTTGCCTGGGACAACCTGTAAAATCTTGCAGCTTGATATCTAAATATATGAAATTTTCCATTTTGTATGATGGGTTTTGCTATTTCTAAAGCGTCACAATATTGGAGCCTCTAGTGTCTTCCATCTCTGGAAATGGAACTCAGTTTTACTGAGAGGAAGATATGCAAGAGAGTTCGCAGCGTTCTCTCTCTACAGCTTGCAGAGCCCGTAACCCCCGCGCTATTTGAAGAGGAGGCGGATGTTCCTATGTGTGCATGATACAGAATTCATTACTTGAAGATGAAGTTACCAAAGCAGAATGCTTTAAAAAATTTGTAGACTAAAATTTACATAAAAGACTATAATTATACTCTCCGTTCTTAATATAAGACCCATTTAATAATTTGATTAGATTAAGGAAGTTAGGTAAGTTAGTTAATTATAAAAAATATGACACATTTTTCCTAAAATACCATAATCATCTTTTTAATACCTTCACTCCCTCTTTTATTTGGTTATGGTTGGAGAGTATCTATAGGGGTAATTTAGAGAAAATTGATAAATATGAGAAATTGGTCTTATATTTAGGACCAAAACCAACTCAACAATTGAGTTCTATATTAAGGACCGAAGAAGTTTTATAATTCTTTTAAGGAGTAAAAACGGACTAATACTCTCTGGACAAAAAAAGGGGATTGGTACTCTAAAATACAAAGAAAGAGCAAATTATAATAACATCCCTTTATTTATCTCAATTATGAACAATATTTTTTTATCTTCAAAATTTTCAGAAACTTCCCCTCAAATCAAAGTTACATAACACACCTTGTTCTATATTTTTAAAATTTTATTTCCAATCCTGTAATGATTAATTCACCATTCAAACATATCCTTTGGACCAAAATATCCCTATTAATAATGAATGTTGCTTATGTGAGAAAAAAAACTTTGGCTAAATCACTATTCTATAGCGTTGGCCAAAAAAAATTATTATTGTTGTTGTTGTTGTTCTTATTATTATTATTATTATTAAAGCGGAATTTTTTCATCCAAAAACTTCAAACCTCGCAGCCGAAACCTTAAATCCATCCAATTATATATTAAACGAATGACATATATAACAATTTATGATTAGAAGGTCAATCAAAGCAATACTTGGTAGTAATCACTATATAACAAAACCTTAACCCTAACAGAAAAATTGTGTATAACAATTATAACTAACAAAATCAGTAAAAAAAAGTCTCTGTTCAAAAACTTTTATTGGTTAAAATGACCTAATTTCAAGCATTTGTATAACTTTTTGTATAGAAATAATGTTATAGGGTGTTTATACTTCCTGTTTATAAAAATATATCAAATTCTTATAGTCAACAAATTTTTTAAATAGAGACCCCCCCTACTTTTTTTAATTATAAATCATCCACTCATTACGAAGAGTAACACATTCTAAAAAAGACATTATATAATGAATCTAATGATAGTAGATAGGAGGAATCAATAATTTGCCTATTGGGTAAGGCGTTTGAGGGGTTAAAAAGTAACTTATAGTGTGATAAGTAAGTTTGTAAATTTAGAAGATTTTTGTTATAGTTTTTGGCCAATCTAATTTATGGGTCAAAAGCTTTTTTTTTTTTTAAGTACAATTATAAAAGCATTTAAAATTTACTTATGACTTATATAAAAATAGCTTTTTAGAATTAAAATATATTTTTGCCCTTATTTTTATATTGTTCTTATGCTTCTTTTTATATGTTCCTTATGCTTCCTAATCAATTTTTAGTTATTTATTTTTAATATTCTTTTAAGTGAAAATAATTTTAACAGTTTTTATAATATTTTAAATTTTAATATTTTTTAATTTTATTTTTATATAAATTATGCAGAGTATATCGTCCAATTAATTATGTAATACTCTTCCGGTTTTTAATATAGGACCTAATTGTTAAGTTAATTTTGGTTCTAAATATAAAACCTGTTTCTTATATTTATCAATTTTTTCTAAATTACCTCTATGAATACTCCCTCAACCATAATCAAGTAAGGAAAGGAGGATATTAAGAAAGATTATTATGGTATTTGAGAAAAAACATGTCATATTTTTTATAATTAATTAACTTAGTTAACTTCTTTAATCTAATCAAACTAGTTAAATAGGTCTTGTATTAAAGACTGAAGGAGTATTATTTGGTTCAAAAATTTTCACATTACTATAATTTCTAATCTAAATATATTTTATTCATTAAATATAATTTCTTCCTATTATAATAATTTAAAATTATTATATTCTGTAAATTCATATTTTTAATCAGTTTTTATTATTTAATAAAAGTCATGCCCAATTTGGTTATTCTATAAAATAAACTTACTTATTCAATCATAATCCAAACAATTTTTTTACTTTTAAACTAACTTTTATAAAAGTCAATGTAAACATAAATCGCATTATTTAATCTAACTTTTTTAAAAATCAGCAATAATATTTCCTTGTACATTGTACATTGAAATGTCATGATTGAAATGTGAATAATAATACACAGAATATTAAGGAAAAAGAAATTTAATATTTATGCCCATGAAATTTAGCATTCTAAAATCACGTTCCATGCGTATAGATATTCGCTCTCCCTGTTTTTTTTTTTTCCCCCTGTACAGCACTGAATATTTTATGTATGAGTTTTAAATTCTTGGTGTATGACTATTAAACGATATAAATTATTTGTTTCATTCACATTTAGGCTGTCACATTTTTTTTAATTCTTAAGAAAAAAAATCTTGGCCATAATTTTATAATTACTTAATTATTTAGTTCTGAAATCTAACGTCCTTTTCACATTTCACTATGCATATAATTTTGTAGGAATCCATATAATTTTATAATTATACGCATATAATTACTTAATATGCATATAATTTTATAATTACTTAATTGTTAGCTATGAAATCTTAATATGCATATAATTTAAGTAATTATTGCTCTTACAGTGGTTAGAATGGAACTTGAATAATACAGCTCATGTGGATGGTTTCATATGGAATTTGTGGTTTGCTTTTCTTGGCCGATCCTTACGGCTAGCACGAAATGCTCATATTTTAAACGGAGCGTCAAGCAGATGTACTGATATTATTGCACACACACGGGCATGCATTTCATGGTGCGTCTTTCCACTCCACCAGCTGGGGACAAGCTCCCTGCCTCCAATTCACTGGTCTCCTCCCCCTCAGGGTGTCGTTAAATTTAACGTTGATGGCTCCTTTAACGGTAATACTGGTATTTGCGCTTGTGGTTAGATCCTTAGAAACCATGAAGGGAAGTTTATCCGAGGCTTCATGTACAACATCAGAGTAGGAAGTGCGTTTACTGCATGGGGCATATTATGGGCCTTAAAACTGGCTTGGGACTGGAATTTTAGAGATGTAATTATTGAAAGTGACTGCTGCGAGGTCATATCGGCAGTTCGAGCTGAGACTCCCATCGAGCACCACGATTATGCTGTGCTGACAGAGATCCGTGGTTTGTTACTGCGAAGCTGGAAAGTGGAGCTCGTTCTATGTGACAGGGAGGCCAACGCAGTTGCTGATGCTATTGCTAAGGAGGCCGGAACCTTGATGCATGATTTGAGGATTCTGCAGAGTCTGCCAGATGGTGCTCGTCATTTGATCCAGGAGGAAGACACGAACTTAGCTTCCTTTTTGAGTTGTAGTGGGTAGTTTGCCGTAGCTTTTCCTTTCCTAATAAAAAAAGAAATCTAACGTCCTTTTCACAATTATTAAGAATGATCCTGTCCAGTCCCCTATGGTTACTTCAGGGTGGGTGGTTGGCATTGACTGGCCTGACTTGGGAAGCTTCGTACCTGCCTTTTGCTCAGTATGAGTGTTCAGTGATTGGTTGGTTTTGGGAATAAATTAAATTTTTGTTTTATTAAAATAGCATGATAATTACCCAATCTACCCATGGTAAACAAATCGTGCGGCCCCAAATCGAGCTACGGTCCCTCACGCTCCACTTCACTTGACTCTGGTCTTGTACTTCTCTCTGTTCAATTTTTCCCCTCAGCTCCGCAGCGAGCAACCATGAAGGATCGCTTCCTCTCTCAAGTCTCAACTCCATGCTTAACATTTCATACCACTCTCTCTATTTCTCTTCAGTCTAATTTGCTTTTCGTCTTTTCTGCGCCATTGTCTTTATTTGCTTCCTTCCTCTTCCTCTTACCTACTCCATCGCCGTTGCAGATGTTCTCGTGCTTGAGGTCGCCGGCGAAGACAATCCAGAAGGGCACATTTTTGGATCGCTGCCAGTCAGCGGTTACATTCTTCATGAGACAGCTCGTAGTCTTACCGGTGAGTCTCTCGAGCAGAGCTTCAAATTTTCTCTCTGGCTGGCACAGTATTTGTATATGTCTTTCTCTGTTTGGTGAAAGGTTTTACAGAGACTATATCAGTAAGGAAAACGTTACAGATTATAGGGCTAATTTAGCCCCAAAACACTAGCCAACTGTCAGTTAACATACTAGTGGCGTGGTAAACACGAATTCAAAAACAAAGAGATGGAATGTTGAGTATAACTCAAGGAAAACTTCCGAACTTCTTGACAAAAACACACTTTTTAACACTGAACCGACACGCAGGAGGGCGACTTGACCCTACGCGCTCGTCAATGGAAAGACTCGAGCTTCCCCCTTTTAGTACTCCATAAATATAACTCTTTCCTCGTATTAACAGTATGTGTTACTGCCTCTTCTTTCTTAGTCATTTGCCAAAAAGAGAAAAGATCATACACTAGCTAGTTCTCCGTCCACGATGAAGAAGAACGCTAGTTTTGGAAGACACTTATCGGACTGGCTCCGAAATGGGCTGGTTCTCTCCAAGACTCTGCCCTTCATCCTTGGTAACATTCGCTTCTATGTCTTACATCAACATGTTCTTGTATTAGCTGTATTTTCTATCAGAATGAACTCTCTTTGGAGTGATTCAGCAATGACTACTAACGCAATTATTCCTCCAATTATATTTGTATTAATTCGGGTTTAATTACAAGCCATGCTTTGATACAAAACGCAGTGGTGGATGTGATGGTGGACTTCCTTACTGATAAAGATGAACATCATCAGAGTCATTGGAAAGCTGCTATACTTAAGAATCTGGTAGATATGATATCAGAAGTGCTCAAAGTTGCTATAGCGCACGTATCAGATACATACACTGGTCCCTTCACTGTGATCAGCTTCTGCACCGCCGCCTATGCTATGGTAAGCCACACACACTGCTCATTCTCTGATGTCATCATCTTTCTTCTTCAACTCCACCTTCTTCCCTGATTTTGTCGAATGTTAATAGAGAATCCATGAAAGGCAAGAACCATGCATGACCGCCGTACCTTGCTGAAATCCACGATCGAAGCCATGGCCATCGTCCTCCACACCTATTCTGTCGTCCGACCTTCAGGCCTAGCTTTCATATAAAATTCTGTCCTCAGGTGGATCAGTAAGTAATTAATAAGAAGATAGTGTGACATGGATACAAAGTAAATTACATATGTGTTGGGTTCGGGGAATGAGAATCACAGGTATTCTTGCGCTTACAAAGTTAGGATGCATTACTTAATATATTAGCAATTATTTATTGAAAGAGTACTTTAAGATCAAATAACAAATGTAAATTTAATGACAGGGGTTGATGTTACTAGGGGTTCGTGGCATGTTGATTTTCGCAATAGTACTTATTGCGTTGGGCAAAGCCGGGAAAGAACCAACTTCTGAATTTTTTTTATAACCAGCTGATGAGGGAACAAGTAAGTAGAAAACGTACTGAAGAAAAAGAACATCGCTCAGGATTTTTGTGGCATTTTCTTGCTTCCTACGCTGGTAAGGCTATAGGTGTCTTTTCGTTAGGCAACTACAAGCCCTGGCGGACAAGGTTCAAAATTTCGTCTCTTGTTATGGAAACTACGAGCTTATTATTCTTCTCTGGCATTTTTTTTCTATTACTCTGAACAAACTATAAACAGTGAGGAATCTAGTGGCAAGAACAATTCCGATGTTGAAAGTGAAGAAAGAGTGGAAGCTGTTCGCACAGAGGAGGAGCAAGTGAGGGACGTGAAGAGCCTTTATCCCCCTATTATACTCTTGGGGTTCACCTTCATCCCTTACAGTTTGGTTTTAAATTGTGGCGACACTTATTTTGTCGTGCAAACAAACATGTTGGATTCTAGTGTCGGTGGATTCGATGTGAGTGTCATTGTTTTCTTTGTACTCCAATCTTCGGTTGCTTCTGTGGTCAGATTGATCCAATCAAGATGTCAACTGATGGAACCAGTTTGGAGTATGGCTGTTGGGATCCTTTGCTCAGCACTTTGCGCTTCTCTTGCTCTTCTGGTGGAAAGTGTTGGGAATATTTCCATAGGCATCTGGGTTTTAACCCCACAGTATTTGCTGCAGCGAATAATGGAAGGATTTGCAGAATTTGGTCTAGCGAGCTTCCTTCATAATCAGCTGGTGCCTGAATCAATGAGAAGATACGTGTACCCGTGCGTTCCGATACTGTTCGGGATCAGAAGATTTTTCAGCATACTATTTGCCTTAATTGTTGTTCGCCGGAACCCCTTGGATCGGTGTTTTCTGATATTGGCAACACTAAGCTTCGTGTCCTTTTTGATTTATCTGTGCTTAGCCAGGTTAGTGTTTGCCAGGTTTCAAGGGAAGGGAGTGTTGGAAGGAGCAGCGACGTCGAACGAGTCCAGGTGAATATTGAGAGGGAGTTAGTTCTGTTATCAGTATAGTTATAATACTACCTCCGGTCCTAATTATAAGATCCAGTTGACTTATTTGAGGAGATTAAGGAAATAAGTTAAGTTAGTTATTTGTAATAAATAAGTGTTGTCATTCCTAAAATATCCTTACTAAATAAGTATATTGGCTAGAACTATTATTATTAGAAGGATTATCTTGGGAAAAAATGCATAAATATGAGAGACAAAATGGATTGGGGTCTTATAATTAGGACCAAACAAAAAGTCAAATGGAGTCTTATAATAAGGACCGGAGGTAGTAGTAACTTGCAGACGTTGTTTCTGTTTGCTGATAACGCATTATACTTTTTACGTTGTTTTGATCGGATCTTCCTCCAGGTTGGATTCTCAGCCTAGTCAGCAAGAGAATGGTGAAGCGGCAAGTCGCGTGAATCAGGTTCAAATACAACTAGAAAGAAGCAAGACGATCAAAAGGAAGACGTCGCAGCTGATGCAGCTGGAAGAACTGGTTTAACTTATTTTAGGTGTTAGATTTTTGGGCTTGGATCCGCCCTTGATGGGCCGGATTATTTGACCCGGTATAAAGAGAATATATCAGTCAAATATCCAAGCGATATCATGATATGTTTGACTTGGTCAAACATTCTGAATCATATCCAATCGGTTACGATATAAATCTAATTAATTTATATTGTATAGATTAAATATATATTAAGTATATATATTTAGAATTAATTAAGATTGATTCTGGATTTGAATTCAAAATATCATGATATTATGAGATAAGGATATATTATATCTTATCTCAGATTTTATCTGATGGGCTCAGTGGATATTTTTATGCTACCCAAAATATCCCTGACAAAAGCTATAAATAGAGGCTTCCCCCCATCAGTTTAAATCACTCCAGTAGTAGAGCTTTCCTACTATCTCTCTCTCTCTTAATTTTCTTTCTTGCAAAAGTGGTGCTCTGCTGTGCACTTAAAAGCTCAGACTTTTATAGTCTAGCTTAAGCGTGAGCTAAGGAGATCCGACCGACCCGACCCGAGATCCGACCCGGTATGTTTTCGATCCATTCTCCAATTTTTCTTACATTAGGAAATCTTGGCTTGTAAAACGTGTTAAAAAAATGTTCTTTTCAATTGAAAGGGGGAACGAGTTTTTTTGTTTTTTTATCGTTGTGATGAGTGTCCCAAACTCATTGTATCTGAGCTATTTAGATTTGATATTCAGATTTGATTTGAATGATTCAAATTAATTTTTTTATTTTTATTTTTAAATAAAAAATTATTTACCAAAAAAGATATAGTTAATAAATTATCTTTATTTTAGATTCTATATTCATTAAAATAATTATTTTTAAAAACAAAAATTAAAAGGAAATTAAATCTAAACCATCCAATTCCAATCTGATGATTCAGATATAATATACTTGATTAAGATATTAAAATGTTACTTATTTTACGTAAAATTTAATAATAAAAAGAAAATCCAAAAAACATTTACGAAGAATCTCAAAATTAATCGGCAGGCTGGAGGTACAGTTGACTTAGGGACAGTAAGCACCCCAGGCCCCAGCCCAATAATTAGGGCGTGTGAATAGTAGACGCGCAAATAAGAAATGGAGTCCAGTGCATCTTTAACTTCAGATTTGGGCAACACTACTTCAATTTTTCCTTGTCTCGGAATCCAGAGTTAAGGTGAAGGTTAAGGGCCTGTCTGTTTCTTTTTTGTTTTTTTGTTCTCAAAAAATTTTATAAAATTATTTTTTAGAATAAGTTTTGAAAACAAAAAACAAAAAAATTTGTTTGGATAGATGAGAGTTGTCGTTGATAGTAGTAGATGGTGGATAGTAGGTAAGAAGATAAAAAGATTTCTTAAAATTTTTTAAAATAAAAAAATTTAAAATAAAAACAAGAAAACATATAAAAGTTGTTTTGATTTTTTAGTTTTTAAAAACATGTTACTGTTTTTTGTTTTTTAAAATAATCAACTAAAAACAAATTACCAAACATTTTTTTTTGTTTTTTTGTTTTTAAAAACAAAAATTGTTTTCAAAATAAGAAACCAAACAAGCCCTAAGAAACTGAAGTTTTTTTTAATTGCCCAGAGTATCATCTCACCTGAACGGTAAGAGACTAATATCTCGGGATACTGTTAGGTGCCGTAGCGGGGACTCCTCCCAAAAGTATTTTTTCCATGCACAATCGCTCCAAAGATTGAACCCAGCTTAAAGAAATAGTTAAGTCGTTTGAATAGAGACATATGAGCTTTACTGTTGCCGAGACACACACTAAACTAAGCTGGGGGAATCAGTTTCAATACTCATCACTTTGATGAGTATCCTAAATTCATCATATCTGGACCGTCTATATCTTATTTGAATAATTCAGATTTAAAATTTTTAATTAATTATTTTTAAATAGAAAAACTATTTTTTGAGATAATGATATTTAAGAGATTATCTCTATTTTAGATCATATACATGTTAAATAATCATTTTGAATAAATAAAAATAAAAAATTAAATATGAATTATCCAAATACTCCTCCTGTCCTTAATATAGGACCTAATTATTGAGTTGATTTTGGTTCTAAATATAAGACCCATTTTTTATATTTATCAATTTTCTCTAAATTATCCCTATGGATACTCGTTCAACCATAATCAAGTAGAAGAGAGAGAGGGGTATTAAGAAAGATGATTATGATATTTTAGAAAAAATATGTCATATTTCTTATAATTAACTAACTTATCCAACTTCCTTAATCTAATCAAATTAGTTAAATGGGTCTTATATTAAGAACCGGAGGACTAAGATATTGGTGATGTATATGTGATGAGTTTAAGGTTACCGAAACTGGTTCTTCTAAGTTGGGGGTGTCAATTGGAGGAAAGTTCCCTACTTCCCGCCTAATTCAGTTACTGATATGTCTGTAAATCAAGCAAAGTAAAACCTGTAACACAACCTGTATTCGAGAAACAATAACAAAGGATCAACCTATATATACCAGGTCTCGAGCCGCTTGATCTTTAGCTCTGCCACTTTTGGAATCAACCTGCGAAAAACCAGACAAAGAGGTTGTTGTTGTGTCTAGTAGGCTGTTCCAGGTTTCGGTTTGGACAAAAATCAAATCCAAACAATTGGTTCACAGAAATATTGGGACCTAATTAGCCACCAGTTTTCAATATTTCATCCATGGAGGATGATACTTTTTATGTTTTAAATGTGTGAATCCCTTTCATCTTCATCGCTCTCTCTTCAGACGTGCTCTATATTTTCCTCTCTCTGCCTCTCTCTCTCTCTCGCCAACCTGCTTTCTCAATCGATTTCGAATATTAATCTTCTTTACATTACCATTCATCTCTTCCTTCTTGTTTGAGTAATACCGCAGCTTCCTCCCCCACATTCTGCTCATTGTTATCGATAGCCAAGGACCAAAACGATGCATATAGATGGATATATATATATATATATATATATTAACACTTGACGTTTGCCACTCCCGCTCACAGCTTCAGGCTCGTCCTATGTATGCATCCACATTTATAACAGAAGTTTTGCAGTTTCTCATTTTTTATCTCCATCCATGCGTCCCATTCAGTGCTCATCGATAAAACGGCTTCGTTTTATCAGACCGGAGAACTGTGAACACAAGAGAGAAGCAATTTTACAATAACTCAGAGATAAAGAAGAGCGGGGGCCGCACGAATTTGGAAAGGTTCCCATGTCCTGCGGAACAAACTTTTAAGGGAGAATAAAAATACGTCTTGGTAAAATTAAAGCATTCTGTAATTTTTTTAAGTAATCGCTATATTTTTCTGTTCTTTCTTAAAAGTTTGCTTTGGAAATTTTTTTTTTGAGTACAAATTTATTCTCAAAGTTTTGACTGGAGTATTAGGTGTCTAAAAATTTTTTTGAATGCAAATTTATCTCAAAAGTTTAAAATCATAATAATATTATCCTAACTGTTAAAAATATTAATTAACAGTTAACGTTACTATTTTAATAATCTATGTTAGGGCCCGGGAAACTGTCAACGCTCGTGGTGCCCACGCTCTCCTTTCTCTCTGTCATTGACTCAGTGTATAATTGCTTCCCTCTCGCATTCATAGTTCTCTAGGCTGACAAAACGAGGCCGTTTTATTGACAAGCATTCAGTGCGACGCTCCTCCAATCCACACTTCACAATCCTTAGGTTTGGGGATGCAAAATTCAGATGCCAAAGGCTTTCAGATGTACAAAATTCCGTCATTAAAGCACGGTTCCTCAACCATCACCGCCTCTCCAGCGCTACCTTCTAACAACATTTTTGTCCCTCATAATTTTTATGATATTCTATTCACACTTATAAGAAAAAGTAAAAATAAATTTCTCACTCATTCTAATAGCAGAGGGAAATTAATTTAAAATAAAAATGGAAAATAAAATTTCTTAACTATTTTGGTCAGCGGTGTTCATCAGACATAACAAGGCTACAACAACCTCCTTCTATCTCTTCCAATGACAACCTTTCCGTCTCGTGACCCGTTCTTCCCTAACGGCATTTCTTCTCGTTCGGGACTAGACATAACTAAGATGGGTCAAAGAATGAATTTTAATAAATTATGCAAAATGACCTTGTTAATAAGTAATCTGTAAGTTCTCGTTATATATAAGTGCTCTTTAAATCATGTCCTGACCCTAATGAGTTTTAGAGACCCAGTTCACCTAAATTTTTCTTGATAAAAAAAATTATGCAATTTGAATTAAGTTGTAATTAATATATGTAACATATAGATAAAATGGTAGAAAGATAAATCAATTATTAATACTCTTCTCCTCTTCCCCTTTTAAACCAAATAACGAATCATTAGAAATCAATCCCTCCCCTCCCTTCCAACAAAATCAAACAAGCCCCTTCCCCAACCCTCCCCTCCATCTCCATCCTAAGTCAGGAGAATTCATCGTCAAGTCTTAAGCATCCTAAGTCAAAAAGGTTCTAGCCTATTTGTTAAACGAGGTGCAGAATTGAAATGTAAACGTTTTAATTGCAGGGGTTGATGTTACTATGGGTTTGCGCCTCGTGGAATTTCAAGCTTAGTGCAGGAGTAGGTCTTCTTGTGGTGATTTTGGCAACAGTACTTCTTGCGCTAGGCAAGGCCGGACGCACAACTTTAAGTGATTTTCTCAATTATCAATTGAGGAAAAAAAATAAAGAATATATATACCGATAATGACAGAGAAAAGGAATACATGGAGGAGTTGGAAAGGATTCAATTCCCTCTACGTATGGAATTGACTTCAGATCTTACATACAGAAAATACATGAGAAGTTTTAGCACTAGGATTGGTCCAACACTACTGAAATCCAAAGTAATCAATAGAAGAGGGAAGTGGATAATTGTCACTAAAATAGTTGTACCTCTCAATCTTTGGAGTGCTTCTGCTCAGTTAATTGCCATTCCCATAGCTACCTATTTCTTACTCAACAGTCGCTGGCTGATAAGGTTCCTAGTTTCGTCTCTTGTTATGGGGCATGCTTATTTAGGATTCTTGTCTGGGATTTTCTGTTACTACCCAGAAGAAAGACACACAAGTAGTCCTCTTACTACCATTTATAGGGTCTTCAAGGCAGCTTTTCGGAAACGTCGATTGCCATACCCTTCTTCAGCTGAGGCTTATTATTATTCTTCCTCTGACGGCAACATTGAAGCTTCGTCGAATGATTCAGAATATCCCCTCTATACAAGAGAAAATGGTTCCTCCAATGGCAGCAATGAAGGTCCAAGTAATGATTTAGAAGATCCCTTTGATCAAAGAGAAAACGATCAAGAGGTTCACTTGAAGCCACCTCATCCATCATTTTGCGGCGTTTGGACAAGGCCGCTATAATAATTAAGAACAACGAAATTGAAGAGAGACAAGAAGAGGTTTGTACGGTGGAGCAGGTGAGGGACGCGAAGAACCTTTTCTTCATTATACCCTTGGGACTCTCCTTCTTCGCCTACAGTTTGGTTTCTGCTTCCGGTAACACTTATTTTGTCAAGCAAACATCCAACTTGGATTCTAAATTTGGTAGTTTCGATGTTCCTGTTATCATTTTCTTTGTACTCCAACATTTGGCTGCTAATGTGGTTGGACGCATCCCATCAAGAAAGAAAGTGGTGGGACCAATTTTGAGTATAGCTGTCGGGTTGTTTTGTTCCGTACTTTGCTGTATTTTTGCTGGGGTAGTGGTACGTTATAGGCTGCCCAAGGCTATTGGGAAGGACCCGGATATGGACGTTGTTCCCTTAAGCATCATGGTTGTAACTCCACAGTTTGTCCTGCTGGGGCTAATGGAAGGATTTGCAGAAGGTGGGCTTGAGGCTTTCGTGCAGGATCGGGTGCCCATATCAATGAGAAACTTTGTGGAACGGGGCATTGAAATGCTGTTGGGGATTGGAAAATTCTCCAGCATTCTATTTGCACTCATTTTTCATTGGTGGATTAAGGATTCCATAAACAATAGTCACCTGGATTTGTATTTTCTCATGTTGGCATCACTCAGCTTCGTGTTCATTGGGATTTATCTCTGCTGTGCCAAGTTCGAGTCATCAAAATTGCCCAAATTTGAAGGACCGGACACCAAGGAAGAAGAGCAGGGAATGTTGGGAGGATGAGGGAGGTCGAAATCGAGGTGATTAATTAGTAGCTAGTAATAATTGATATTTGATAGTTAATTAGTTACTGCTTATTTGTTAAGTATGTAAAACAACTTCTAGTAGTTCTGTTAATGATTTGTGTGCGCGCAATTTCTTCATTCATTCAATTTATACAAATAAACAAATATACACGTCTCAACTTGGAACTAAATTTTCTTTTGAAATTTCTGATTTTCGTTTCATGTTTCTGGTTTTATTTCCTTTTCCAGTTTCTTGCTTTTTAAACTGAGTGCCTGTTTGGCAAGGCATTTGGCAGGCAAAAAGTAGCTTATAGATGTATGATAAGTCAATTTGCAAATTTGGAAGCTATTTGTAATTGCTTTTGGCCGATCTGACTTACGAGTCGAAAGTTGTTTTTTTTCAAATACGATTACATAAGTATCTAAAACTTATTTATGACTTATGTAAAAGTGGCTTTTTGAAATTAAAAGACATTTCTGCTCTTATGTTTATATTGTTCGTGTGCTTCTTTCTATATGTTCCTTGTACTTCCCAATCCATTTTTAGTTATTTATTTTTAATATTCTTTTAAGCAAAAATAATTCTTAACTTTTTATAATATTTTTATTTTTTTAATGTTATTTTTCATTTTATATTTATATAAGTTATGTAGAGTATATCATCCAATTAATTATGTAATATTCTTTGGTTAAAAAATTTTCACATTATTATGATTTCTAATTTAAATATATTTTATTCATTAAATATAACTTCTTTCTATTATAATAATTTAAAATTATTATATTTTTAAATTCATATTTTTTTAAAAAATTCATTATTTAATAAAAGTCAGACCTTTTTTTGGTTATTTTACAAACTAAACTTACTTATTCAGTGATAATCCAAACAACTTTTATACTTTATAAACTAACTTTTATAAAAGTGAGTCCAAATATAGTTCACATTACTCAATCTTACTTTTCTTCATCCAATCCGATCGGACCTTGAATCTTTCATCTTTCAGTCCAAAAATAAAAACTGAATCTTTCATCTGTGAGGTTGAAGGCGGAAAACTTTTGGTGACGATAATGACTTTTATTACTGCCTTTGATGATTTCAATTCACTGTAGTGAAATTGGATTTCAGTTCTGGGTCTGCAGATTTGTGGAAGGTGAGAGTTGAGAGTTGCGATCATACTGGTCTTTACTTAAGTTTTCCTTTTCATCGAATTTTTCTAGCATACCAAAAAAATTCCATTGAATTTTCCAACATAAAAGCTTGATTTTTTAAAAACTTTTTTTCCCCATTATATTTCCAAATCCATTTTCAATTCATTTTCCAGTTCTCGCAAACAAAGGGGGGCTTAGTGTTCCAAAAACAAATAAATAATAATTTTTTTAGTCATTAAAAATCAGGCCACATTTAGCAGCAGCTAGATGATTTTCAGTAGAAAACAGAAACCAGAGGCATCAATCAATATGAAAGGAATTTTTTTTTTTTTTGGCTAAAAATATGGAAGGAACCTAAAGGCACTGTATGGTTCAGGATTTTGAGAATGTGATTTCACAGGTCAAATTTTATTTTAATTAATGAAGAAATTTGTTTCATTTTTATAATAAAATTGATGTTATGTACAAGCTCCCTGTTGTTAGTTGAATGATACTTTTGCTATAGCCAAGTCAAAATTGCAAAACATGAAGTTGGTCTTATAAGTCCATAATCATCCACAGTGAAGCTATAAGCTTCATGCATCGTGAAGAATCTTCGTCTCCACCTCTTTCCAGTTTCCTCCTTCTCCGTTCATACTTAGCTTACTCAACCCCAGACACGTCACATTATAACACGTGCGTGGGAGAGGGGTGCTGGGTCCCCCTCATTTTCCCTCCCTTCCCAAATGTTTTTTTTCTTGTTTCTTTTGATCACTATATTCTTCATGCAATGACATTTTAATATCTTATGAGCAAAAAATAGAGCTGTTTTCAATTTTTTATGATTTTTTTTAAAGATTTACATAAAAATCTGTGCTGTTTAGAGTTTTTTTTTCCTTTAAAAAATGCAAGTTGTTTTTGCCATCCATCTGCTGCACACTCTCTTCTAATCTCTCCAAGAGCATCACAGTTGTGTTAGACTTCATCTCTTCCTCCATAGCAATCCGACTTAAAAAAATAATATACCAAAAGGGATGCACGACCTGTCATAGCTCTTCTATCCCTACCCTCTGGACTACAAAATATTCTAACAATATTAATTTGGACTGCCACTGGAATATGCGCCGTCTCCTCCAATCAATATTCAGTCAACAACATGGCATCCTCCATGTCACAAGCCAGAGATGCTAAGCGGACTTCATCTCCTCGCAACAAAATTTGTTGGCAAATGATAGAAGCTCCAGAACAATCTGCGGAGGAAAACTCGACGGTGATGCACGCAAATTGCAATGAATCAAATGATGCCCCCCTGCGAGAGGTTTGGTTACACTGGTAATGCCAGGTCTTCCTCTTTTTCTCGCCCCTGAGAAAATGGAGAGAAAGAGGGAAAACAAAAAAAAATGGTGAGGGGAATTTGACCAAATTAGACGTTGAGGTGGAGAATTGAAGATGGATATGGCCGTTTCAACAGCCATTGTTGTCGTCTTTGACAATCTGCAAAATCTTGCAGCTTGATGTCTAAATATATGAAATTTTGCATTTTGATTAATGGGTTTTGCTATTTCTTTTTTTTTTTTTTTGATGTATGGTTTTTCTATTTCTAAAGTGTCATAATATTGGAGTCTCTTGTCTTCTATCTTTGGAAATGGAATGAAATTTAGTTTTACTGAGAGGAAGATATGTAAAATTTTGACCAGAGAGAGAGAGAGGAAGATATGTAAGAGAGTTTGCAGCGTTCTCTCTCCCCATTGCAGACCCTTAATTCCCGCGCTATTTGAAGAGGAGGCAGATGCCCCCGTGTGTGTGCTACAGAATTCATTCCGTGAAGATGAAGTTACCAAACCAGAATACTCAAAAGGAATTTTAACTAGGATTTTTCCTTGAGACAAATACTTTTATGCATACCCCTTCTAATTGATCTATATATATCTATTTTGTACAACCCAAAATCATTTATAATAAGTTAAACTAGTTGTTCTGTCTGTTTCGGCTGCGAGGTCTTCCTTTTGATCGTATTGCTTCTTCCTAGTTGATCTTGATTCACGTGACTTGCCGCTTCACCAGGCTGAGCATCCGAGCTGGGGGAAGATCTAACCAAAACAGTGTAAAAATGGTATAAGCGTGATCAGCAGTTATAAGAAAACAGAAACAACGTCCGCAAATTGCTAATACAACCATACTAATAACAGCACTAACTCCATCTCAAATTCACCTGGACTCGTTCGAACTCGCTGGTCCTTCCAACACCTCCTTTTCTTGAAACTTGGCAAGTACAAACTTTGCTAAGTACACATAAATAAAAAAGAACACGAAGCTTACTGATGCCAATATGAGAAAACACCAATCCAGGCGAATCGGGGGGACAAAAATGAATGCAAACAGCATGCTGAAGAACGTTCCGATCACGAACAGCATTGAAATGCATGGATATACAAATGTTCTCATTGATTTAGGAATCAGCTGATTATGAAGGAAACTCTCTAGTCCAAATTCTGCAATCCTTCCATTAGTCCTAATAGCAAATACTGTGGAGTTAAAAACCAGATGCTCAAGGAAATACTCCCACATGGGTCTGTTATAAACTGAATCAGACAGAGCCTACGACATTCCACTAGCCAAGCAGCAATAACGCAGAGTATCGAGGAAAACATCCCAACAGCCATACTCCGAATTGGTTCCATCAGTTTATATCTTGATTGGATCAATCTGACCACAGAAGCAACCGAAGATTGGAGTACAAAGAAAACAATGACAGGCGTATCGAATTCACCCACATTGGAATCCATCAGGTTTGTTTGCACAACAAAATAAGTGATGCCACAAGTTAAAACCAAACTGTAAGCGATCAAGGTGAACGCTAAGAGAGTGATAGGAGGATAAAGGCTCTTCACGACCCTCACTTGCTCCTCTGTATGAACCGGTTCAACTACTCTATTTTTACTTTCAGCATCAGAATTGTTCTTGCTACTAGACTCCCCTTCGTTCATAGTTTGTGGTTCAGGGTAATACAAAAAAATCCCACAGAAGAATAATAGACGCATAGTTTCCATAACAAGAGAAGAAATTATGAACCTTGTCAGCTAACGTCTGTTGCCTAACCAAAAGATAGCTATAGCACCAGTGAAGGAAGCAGTAAAATGCGACAAAAATCCAGGGCCATATTTTCTTTCTTCTGTTGAGTCCTCATCTTGTTGTTTCTTCTCACTTTTAGTACCATTTTTATTGCCTTCTTCCCTCGTCAGTTGGCTATCAAGAAAATCAGAAGTCCGTTCCCCCGGCTGTGCCTAACGCAATAAGTACTATGCAAAAATCAACATGCCACGAAACCCTAGTAGCATCAACCCCTGCCATTAAAAATACATTTGTTATTTGATCTTTAAGTACTCTTTCAACAAATACTTAATTAAAACATATGTCCTTTACTTTGGATCAATGTTACTCTATCTTAATTATTTATTGATCCACATGATGAGGACAAAATTTTATGAGAAAATCAAAGGTTGAGAGAGCCTTTTGGTTGCCGAACTTCTTTCAAAATGTGATGTTAAATACCAACGTTTGTTTGGTATGATATATTAGGAGTGAGGGGAACAAATTTTGTTCTTATTGGCAAGATCAATATGGCAAGACAATTTCGATCATATTCAATCAACTCGCAAAAATCAAAACTGTCTCTGTTTCAATCAGCTAGCAAAATTTAAAAGCAGATGAAACAAAGCACAGATCAAACCAGAGATACCAGTGGAGTGGAAAACAAAGCAAATAACCCAGAACATATTCGAAACCCAGATTATAAGGAGCGTAATGGAATCGAAAGCCGCGTAACGTTCAAACTAGCTAGAAGATGGAGCTAGAGGCGACCATATACGG